TCTCGTTCTCTCTAATTTTTTATTATGCAAATTTCTTTTATTATAGGAGCAATGTTTATGAATAATGCTAAGCCAAGAAGACATAAAAAATGGAAGAGAAGTAACAAGGAGGAAATAGAATCACACAGTGCAGTGAAGGTTTGAGAGAATACCACTTACAAGAACCACAGAACACACCATCAGATGGCTGTCCCATTACTTCTTCACTCGGTTCCTATCTTTGGGCTTTTACACAGAACCCTATGTCTAGCCTCGAATGTAAATATTTTCCCAAACTTCAGAGGCATCTCAAGTCACAGTTGAATAACGGGAATTTCTGGATCAACATTTATAAATATTAAAAGATTTCTTGGTGCCCAGAGCCACACTCCTCCTCAGTAAAGCTGCCCACATTTTCTTTCCCCGTGAGCAGCATGAAGGCCAGTCTCACTCACTATTATGGTCTTTTTAATCCATAGCTTTCATAGCCAGAGGAGAGGGTTCTACTCAGCTGGAGTGGGCTCATTATTACTAAACACTGAATTCCATGTTGATTGGCCAATTTAGTTTCTTCTTTAATGTTGGTTATGTTCTTTTTACAATGAGCTACTAGTGGCTAATATATTAAAATTTATTTATTATTAATCAATCCATACAATTTTATTCAGATACCATAGTCATAGAATTTAGCATCTAAGCAGATTTTATTTATTTGTTGTTTTCCCCATATTCGTGTGCATGTGGTGAGCGTGTTTTCCTGTGCATGGGTAATGATGGGTGGGTACACCTGCATGGGTGTACGTGCATACTAAGGCCTGAAGCTCACGTTTGGAATCATCCCGAATCCTCTTCTGCCTTATTCACTGAAGCAGGATCTCACAATCAAATCCAGAGATTGCCAATGTCAACCTTGCTAGTCAGCCTTCCCCGGGGATCTCTGTCTCCACCTCCAGAGGCTGGAATTACAGGTGAGCCACCATGACACTTACACAGTTCTGGGGATCTGAACTATGGACTCACACTTGCGGCAAGCACTTTAACCCCATTCTCCTGAGTAGACTTTATGCTAGCAAATATAAAAGGAATGGTCATGGAGAGCTTAGAAGATACAGCATGAGTAACAGTGGTTATGGCAAACACTTCTGGTCCATTATACATCTGATTTAATCATTTGAAATGCCAAAATGAGTCATTTAATTACTAAAGTGAATCAGTGACTTGATAATATGAAAAGCATTAATGGGCCAGGGGGAGGACTCAGTGGTAAAGTGCCTGCCTCACAAATATAAGGGCTAGTATCCACTTATGAGTGAGTACATACCATGTTTGTCCTTCTGAGTCTGGGTTACCTCACTCAGGATGATATTTTCTAGTTCCATTCATTTGTCTGCAAATCTCATGATATCATTGTTTTTTACTGCCGAATAGTACTCCATTGTGTATATGTGCCACATTTTCTTTATCCATTCTTCAGTTGAGGGGCATCTAGGTTGTTTCCAGGTTCTGGCTATTACAAATAATGCTGATATGAACATAGTTGAGCATGTGTCCTTGGGTATGTGCCCAAGAGTGATATAGCTGGGTCTTGAGGAAGATTGATTTCCAATTTTCTGAGAAACCGCCATACTGATTTCCAGAGTGGCTGTACAAGTTTGCATTCCCACCAACAGTGGAGGAGTGTTCCCCTTGCTCCACATCCTCTCCAACATAAGCTGTTTTCAGTGTTTTGGATCTTAGCCATTCTGACAGGTATAAGATAGTATCTCAGAGTCATTTTGATTTGTATTTCCCTGATGACTAAGGATGTCGAGCAATTCCTTAAATGTCTTTCAGCCATTTGAGATTCTTCTGTTGAGAATTCTCTATTAAGCTCTGTAGCCCATTTTTAATTGAATTGTTCAGTATTTTCAAGTCTAGTTTTTTGAGTTCTTTATATATTTTGGAGAGCAGCCCTCTGTCAGATGTGGGGTTGGTGAAGATTTTTTCCCATTCTGTAGGCTGTCATTTTGTCTTATTGACTGTGTCCTTTGCTCTACAAAAGCTTCTCAGTTTCAGGAGGTCCCATTTATTAATTGTTGCTCTCAATGTCTGGCCAGACTGCAGCCCATGGCTCCAGAGAGGCTAGTTGACAGGAAGAGGCCCTGGGAGGGACACAAGGATCGCCCAGCGAAGTAGAAGTGGATGGAATCTGCATGAGCGGGCTGGGGATGGGGGAGTGGCAGAGGGCAAGGAATGGGGGGTGAGAACATAGGGAAATGGGAGGGTTGAGCTGGAGTGGGGACAGAGTGGGAAAGCAGGGAAGGAGATACTGTGATACATGAAGGCATCATGGGAGTGGGAAGAGGCAGGGTGCTGGGGAAGCTCTCAGGAATCCACAGGGATGACCCCACCTTGGACTGCTGGCAGTGATCAAAGGGGTGCCTGGACTGGTCTACTCTGGTGACCAGTCTAATGAATACCCTAACTGTCATCATAGAGCCTTTATCCAGTGACTGATGGAGGTGGATGCAGGGATCCACAGCAGGCACCAGGAATCCAGTCGATGGAAGAGAGGAGGGATTCTGCGGGCGGGGGACGTCAAGATCATGATGGAAAGACTTGCAGAGATGACTGGCCACACTGGTGGAGACCCATGAACTGTGGACTAGTGGCTGTGGAGCCCCATGGGACTGGACTAGGCCCTCTGGATGTGGGAGACAGTTGTTTAGCCTGAATTGTTTGGGGAACACCCGGGCAGGTATGTGGGGGGGATCGGGATCCATCCCTGGTGCATGGGCAGGCTTATGGGAGCCCAGTGCCTGCCGTGTGGCACCTTGTGCAGCCTTGGTGTGACGGGGAGGGGCTTGGACCTGCCTCAGCTCGGTGTGCCATTTTTACAATGGCAGAGTACTGTAAGAAACGCAAATATCCTTGATTAAATGTTACCAGTTTGACGGCACAGAACAGTGGCAATCATATGCGCAATCATATAGTATGTGTCTTTTGGTGGTTGGCCTGTTTCACTTGGCATAATGTCCTTAGATCCATGTTCCTTTTGTCCCATCTGTGTGTGTGTGTGTGTGTGTGTGTGTGTGTGTGTGTGTGTGTGTGTGTGTATGCACTCGTGCACACACACTGGCATGCATGTATGAACCATATTTTGTGTATCCATTCATCCACCAGTGGACACTTGAGTTGCCTCTGCTGTTTAGCTTCTATGAACACAGGATATAAATACTGCTGTTTAGTGGTGTTAAGAAAGACATGGCCCCCTTCACTGATGAGCAAGCTAAGATCTCTTCGCAAGTATTCTCACACAAGTCACACAGCTAGGAAGCAACAGGATCCAAACCCACCAAGTTTTAAAAGCAGGTGAATTATTTGCCCATCCAATGACCCCAAGTGAAGATTTTAGGACAGAGGAACTTGAAGTCACCAGGAGAGAGCAAATGTCACACAAGCAGTGACCCATATAAAAAGTCACACCTGTGTGGCCCTGGATACCCAGGCTGACAACAAAATATTAGTTTCTTCTTCTATGATAGCAATGTGGGGTCAGGAAGAATTTTATTTTACATATAGTGGAGGGGGAGAATAGGTGTGTACATGCCAGGGGGCATGTGTGGAGGCCAGAGGGCCACTCTGTGGAGTTGGTCCTCTCCTTCTATACATAGGTGGGTCCCAGGGATCAAACTCGGGTCACCGTGTTTTCAGAAGAAGCTCCATCCTGTGAGCCATCTCGCTGGCCCAGGAAGGATTTTCAGTCCCTAGCAAACACTTCTAGCTATGATTTCCACCAACATTATTTGTAAAGAGACTTGAAGAAGCCTGGCCATTTAAAGGAAACTATCATTTAAGTTCAAGCCCCAATTTGCATTGGCAAACAGTCCAGAGGGTGCCCTGGCCAAGCTCACCTTTCAGTTTCTTTACTTTTTGTCTCCAAAGCAAAAGAACCTGTGTAAAAATACACACCGCAAATGATCAAAAGGATTCCAGGGACTCAGGAGCTTTATGGAAATGCTCCAGCTTGGCAGGGACGAGCTAATGCGCTGAGCTAATTTCATTCCAGAGGCCAAACTGCAAACACTGTTTTGTGCTTCTGAGATAAAAAGGGCAGATCTTAAAAATATTTCGAGCTGTGTCTTCACATTCCACCATGCAAACAGCATGATGGGAGCGATGTGCAAACACGCTTGTTAGCAGTTCGCTGCAGCACAGCGGCTGTCTTTGCACTGCTGGACAAAAGTATTTTGAGGGGAAAAAAGAGAAGGGCCAGGTGCTCTTTCTGAACATCTTGTTCCCCTGCTTGCCCCTCCAGACCCAAAGGAAGGTCCATGACCTCAGAGGAGTGGGTAAGGGGCCACTATCCCCAGCAAAATAAGCAGGAAGAGATATTAGGGTGTCTCTGGACAAGCATAGGCAGATGCCACCCAGAATGAGCAGTTTGTAGGAGCTTGGGAAGTCGGGTAGCTGAGTAGCCTCTTGGCCACTTAGCAGCTATGTGATCTCCAGAGTCTCTGGAAGCTCTGTTTTTTCTCTGGCCTTTGGCTTCATCGTCTGCAAAATGGGAACATTAATAGCTTTGACTGCACAGGATTGTACTCAAGATTAATTCTGTACTAGCTTTTCCCTAATACCCACTTAGCCTTCATTAAGATAGGGGTCCTTGCAGATTCAACGCTGTCCACTAGCCTAGTGACACAGTGACACAGGACTGCTGCCTTACCCTCCTTACTCCTAAGTCCTATGCAATCCTCATGTCCCATGCTACATTGGACAGCTTCCTTGAAAAGGAGGACAGCTATACAAACAGGTGAGCTGTGCAAACATCACATATGACAACACAGAATACATCCACTTCAACTATATCAATAATAGCCTCTTTGGTACTGTTATGATTAGTGAATTATTGTTATTTCTTTTTTTTTTTTGTCTGGGGATCTGTACTCTTACAATATTCTCTAGATAATTTCTAATAGTTCAAAAACTACAGATCTGGAGTGAACTCATGTGCTTCTTAAGGGGCCAGCATGCTTTCCTGCACCAACACTTGCTGTCTTGGTAGACAGAGGCACAGGAAACTCAGAGCCTTAAAGGAAGGTGGGAGCAGGTGAAAAGTTGGGGAGGAGAAGACGGGAAACAAAGGCCATTAGCTCTTTGTAAAGGCTTGTGATGAGAGAGTGAGGAGCAGATGGAGAATGGAGACCTCATATTCTCTAGTAATAATGATAATATGGACAGGTAGTATATGTGCCAAGCTCTTGATACGAATGGCCCAAGCTGACCCTCACAATACCACAGAGAATTCTTCCCATTCTTTGGAGGAGGAAACCAAGAAATCAAGAGATCTTTCCCAAGTACATACGAAATGAGGAGGACTGGATTTGAGTCCCGCGGAGACGGCTGAGGGAGGGGGGAATGTGGAGACAAGGAAGGTGGTATACAGACAGGTCCCGTGTATCTTGGACTGTCAGAGTCACAGAAAGGCATGTTCCTTACGGCCGGAGAAGGCAGGGGTGAGTGTGAAGGAGGGGAAGGCATCCCCAGTAAAGCAAAGGTCACAGAAAAGGCAGGGATCCCGGGGAGGGTAAAGGGAAACGGGCTTGAGTCTCTGTCCAGAGGAGCTCTTGCCGCCTTGCATTGGTAAAGGTTCACAGCCATCCATTCCCTAGCTACCTACTCCTGTCAAGAAGAGACAGGAACCCCCACCCATGCCTTGCGTGCTGCTTCTGAATCTGTGCCTGCCTTGCAGTACCTCCGCACCCTGGGTGGTTCTCAAGATGGATATTACAAAGCCCATTTTTTAGTGCTAGGAAAGCCAAGGCTAAGCTCACAAGCAAAGGAGACAAGCAAGAACTTCGCAGTCAGCAATGCTCCCCCGTCCTCTGTGCAGTGGTATGTGGAGCCCTGGTCTGGCCTCAGGACCCTCCAGGACAGGTGTGATCCCAGCTTTGTTTCCCACACCCTCCTGAATCCAAGTTCCCTTGCCGCCTGACCCCAGATCCCCCACCCACAGAGCCTCTAAGCTGCAACGTGGACTTCTGCCCACTCCCAGTGCCTCACAATACCCAGCCTTCTCCAGAACCATACAGAGTCAGGCCCACAGGAAGAGCTAGGACACAGGGGCAAGCACAGCCCTTGGGGTCCAGTGGGACCAGCTTGGCTCAGGGCCTAACTCCTCAGCACCTCAGCAGAGTTGTGGCCCCTGAAGTCACTCAAAGGGTCTCTGTGAGGAGGAGAGCCGCACCCAGAACCCAGCCTACGGAAAGGGTTCAAATGAGGATTCCTCCCAAACCCCCATGGCCAGCCTCTCCTGGACCCCCAGTCCCACAGGTCAGCTCTCTGAAGGTAATACTTCCACGCTTACTGTCTTCAAGAATGTTCTATTCTCCCCTCCAGGACACAGTGAGATCCTAGAGTGAAGAGACAGTAACAGCCGCTCTTCCCCGCAGCTCCTGGGACAGAGCACAAGATTAAACACACATGGATCAGCTGAGAACATGCGCTGAATTTTCCCACCGTTCATTTAGCCTTCATCCAGATGCAAGTCCATGAAGATCCCAACCCTGTCCACTAGCCTGATGGCACATGCTGGGCTTGAACCCACTGCCTCTAGCCTCCCAAATCTGACATGAACTCCACTTCCCATCCTAAAATGGGCATCTTACCTCCCAGAGGAAGACACCGAATGAACCACAACAACAATACCACCGTACAGATAGGCCAACAGGATATCTTATTTATCCGTTGATTTATAAGCATGAATCAAAGCCTACAAAGTCCCACATGCTGGGCCAAGTATTGAGGATTCAATGATGACGGATGGTGATAGAGTAACAACCCGGAGCCCCTGCCCCACGGGTATTGCCTCGCGTCGCAGTCTAGGTAAGGAACTGATCTTTTGAATAAAAAGATCAGATCTATTTTATTTACCCTGCAGGCTGAAGGAATGGGAGAAGTGAGCTACAGAGATTTTTTTTTCATTAAATAATAACCGTTCTTCAATATCCCCGCATCCTTTCCCTGCCAACCAGATTCAGCTGAGCCACAGAACCAAATAAAAGAGCACAAAAAGACCCAGGTGTTTGAAGGGAGAAGACAGGCGAGAGGGTGGATGAATAATATTCCCCTTTCCCACCCGAGATTCAGAACACTACTTTTCTCCTGTTAATTAACTACAAGGAGGTAAGGTGTCAGCTCAATTTCATCTCTAGCTCCCGCCGATAGAAAATGCGATTTCTAACAATGTACTCATTATAAAAAAAAGTCCTAATACATCAAAATTGGATGCCCTGTGGAGTTCATTATAGGATCTGAGGAGCGTCTATGCTGCCATTTTATCTTGGCTTTCTTCCTTTTGTCTCATCCGTCACTTAAAGTGTCCAACGAAAAATGTAAGCTTTTAAAAAGCATCCTATTGATTGAAACGTGGGAGGAAAAAAATCTGTTAGAGTGATTGTATTTTTTTTTTTTAATCTGGGAGACATGGTGGGGAGTGTCAGAATCTGCTGGTGCATATTTTATGTGGACACATCACCCTGAGATTATTCTCTCAGAGAACTACAATAACCACAGGTGGGTACTTGCTCAGGAAAATTCCCCAAGGCAGCAGTCAACTTTAACTTTTGGTGACACTCCAGCTTTCTTACCACTGCCAAGGGTATGCGAAGGTAAAAGTTGGGTCCTAGTATGGGAATGGGCTGCTTACTTGTATCTGCGGGCAATATGCTGATTGCAGAGGCAGACATCACCAAGTGAGCTGGGTTTACAGGACAGTGAGTACATGAAGTATTGATGTGTGGAGTAGCTGGTGTTCATTTTACAGATTTGCACCAGTGCCTCCCTGCCATGAAACAGATAGGCAGTGTAAGATATTAGCAGACAGTCTAGAGGCAGAGGCCTTTGGAGCCAAAAGAACAAATGCAAGCTTCACTGGATGATGGCCCGACAATAACACAGGCATTGCACACTGAGAAAACAGGACTCCTTTGAACCAACGAGATTAAACCCCTCAGTATGAAATGAGGCCATGTGTACCTGGTCACCAGTGGGCTGCACATGGAAAGCGTTTCACAACTACTACATCTGGGATTGTTTGTGGCACCTTTTGGAGATTTATTTATTTTTATTTTATGTATATGGATGTTTTGTTTGCATGTATGTAAGTGTACTACTGTATGTGTGTGTGTGTGTGCCTGGTGTCCTTGTAGATCAGAAGAGGGTGCTAAATCTCTTGAAACCGGAGTTAGGAGCTGCCATGAGGGTTCTGGGAACTGAACCCAGGTCCTCTACAAGAACAGCAAGTTCTGGTAACCATCTTTCCATCCCCTTGCAGCACCTTTTGAAACTCATCTTCACCCCTGCCCCTTGACTCCTGATGAGAATTCTAACACAGGACACCTGGGGAGAGGCCTGGGCATTCTCATGACTTCCATGGATCCTTCTATTCAGAGCTGGAAAGGGAGGCAGGCATTTTGAACACATGGTGGTAAACAGTCTCAAAATTTTAAGGGTTTTGAAGGTCACCTGCATATATTATCTCACTTCACTGTACCATCCACATAGGGCCCACACTACTGCACAAAGTAGCTCACGTCACTGCTAGACTAACCTAGCTGCTGCAAACTCCATCTTTACTGAATCAAAATCTACCTCCTTCTACACTGGGTCCAAGTTGTGCCTTTGAGAGACTATTTGTCTCACCATAATGACCCTTCAGAAGGCTCAAGCCTCAAAGCATTGTGGGTTGCTAAATGGGCACTGACTAGGAGTCAGAAGCCATATACACCTGAGGCTCAACTGCCAGAGAGTCACTTCCCTTTTGACCACAAGTTGCTTGTCTGTGAAGTAGGGATCATCACACTTGTCTCATCCATCCTATAGTATTTGACCACAAGTTGCTTGTCTGTGAAGTAGGGATCATCACACTTGTCTCATCCATCCTATAGTATTTGACCACAAGTTGCTTGTCTGTGAAGTAGGGATCATCACACTTGTCTCATCCATCCTATAGTATTTGACCACAAGTTGCTTGTCTGTGAAGTAGGGATCATCACACTTGTCTCATCCATCCTATAGTATTTGACCACAAGTTGCTTGTCTGTGAAGTAGGGATCATCACACTTGTCTCATCCATCCTATAGTACTGTGTTGGAAGCCTTCTAACACAGAGATGATGGAAAGCACTTTGGGAATGTACCTCCAGCAATCAAATCTACACCCTGCCATTAGTTACTGAGCTGCTATTACCACACACCAAGAGTGATGAGCCACGTTACAATGCAGCTTCATTCCTTCACCTTGGAACCATTCGAAGATTTAGGATCTGAGTTTGCACAGCTGTATTGGCAGGGCCGGCTCTTGGGTAGGTTTGTCTGAGTAAGCTATTGAAAGTAGGTTTGCATAAAGTGTTTGTGCTCCTTGAGGACTAGAAGACAGCTAGAGTCCCTGATATCATAGTGAAAAAAAGGTCTTGAAAACCAGTCGGGTACCTTTTTCATACTCGTAAAAATAGGATTCTCACTTCGAATGACATGGGCAAGAAATGACATCTTATTGGAGGCTGCTATTATAACCCAGTAGCTGCTTGCACATTATGTTCATGGGAATTGCTTGAGGTCATCCACAGAACTTCACATTCCTTTGCATCTGACTCACATGACATGTGCTTTTTAGGTCTGTGTGATGGTTGCATACTTTTACAACTTACATGGTTCATTGTACACAAGCATCCCACACAGAATATACCCTGATGATCACAGGGCAAGAATAGTTCTGACTTATTTCAATGTCTAAAGTCATGAATGATAACATGCTCGTACCCTAACTTGGTGGCGGGGGTGTTTATCAGTGATGCTAGAGATTGAACAGAAGTCCTTGTATATGCTCAGTTCTACTGAACTCCACCCCAGCCCCAGTTTAACTACTTTTGAAAGAAATTTAACTAAAAGCCAAACCTTAAGATTTATTTGGAACATAGCTCCACATAGAAATACTATTGGTTGCCTGGGAAGCTTTGGCTTTTTCCACCTGTTCAGGCCCAAGATACCTGTTGAACCACGAGGCACAAAAAGAAGTCAACCAACATTGTTATCTCAAAACCATGCAAACTAGATAAGCAATCAAGGCTACATCTTTCTAAATGAATACAGTTTATATTCATTCAGAAAGATGTAGCCTATATATACATATAGATAGATATACACATATATGTATATATTATATATAGACATTCGAATATATTATACATATTATATTAAAATATATAAATATATTCTATATATGAATATATTCTAATATATTACATATATATTAGAATATACAATATATTAGAATATTATATTAATAAATTCTAATATGTTAATATAATCTAATATATATTAGAAACTCTTTAGAATATATGCATAGCTCCAAACAATATATTGTACATATTATATTAGAATATATGAATATATTCTAATATATTACATATTATATATTAAAATATTATATCAATAAATTCTAATATATTAATATAATCTAATATATATATTAGAAACTCTTTAGAATATATGCATAGCCCCAAACAAGGCAATTCTAGGAGCTTAGATCACTGGAGTCTAATCCAACTGTTTTTAATGACCATGATATTACTTCCATGAACACTCCAGCTAAGGGCTAGCCACTATATCATTGCACCAATGGCCTCCTATAAAGCCAAACTCAGCTGTAGTTAGGTTGATACTGGGAATCTTTTAACCTTGATTAGTAAGCTTTGATGACAGCTAGTAATTAATTTAGGACCCCAAAGACATGTCCTCGGGAGCAGACCAAATGGTTTCAACAATGACGTGCTGGGAAGTTGTGCCAAGGACACTGGCATTGTAGTCAGAATGTGACTCTGATGAATTCCTCAGCCTTCCTGAGTCTTCGGCCCCTCAACCAGACAGCAGTTATAATAAAGATGCCAAAAGGGCATCAGGATTAACACACACACACACACACACACACACACACACACACACACACACACACACTGTTTCTGTCAACTACAAATTAATTTCCAATACTTAATTTCCTCTACCCCAACCTGACAAAGGTGGGATTTAATAAAAAATAAGCCAAGAATCATGGCTCCACACATAGTACTAGGCTATGAGAAACCCAAAGCCATGATTCACCGAGCCTGCTCTCAGGGAACTCATGAAAACAGCGATAGCATGAGCTGGGCACTGTGGGAAAGGTACAGATAATTCTCCAAAGTTCATAGAGAGGGAGAAACAGAGAAGGTGTCACAGAGAAAGAGCGTCTAACAGGGAACTAGAAAGTGGTGTGTATCAGTTTTACTTGTGTTGCTATGACAAAACGCCATGACAGAAACAGCACGAAGGCAGAGGGTTCCACTTTGGCCCATAGTTGCAGAGAGGTGTGATCTATGGTGGTCGGAAAGACACAGTGGCAGGAACATAGACAGTGTCCATGGCATCTGTAGTTCCGCAGGAAAGCAAGAGAATAGGACATGTGCCTGGGCTCTAAAGCCCTGAGGCCAACCCAAGGTGAAGTACTTCCTCCATCAAAACCTCCATCTCCTAAGGGTTCCATAACCCACCCAACAGTACCACCCGCTGGAGTCCAAGCATCCCAATCCATGAGCCTTTTGACAGACATCTTACCTTAGAACCACAGCAGGAAACAAGACAGACAGACAGAGCTAGAAGGAGGGAGGCTTGGATGACAAGTGACAGCACATGACAGAGATGTGAGGCCACAGAATGGGAAGGGTGTCTTCAGCAACTGATTCACGCCAGTTTCTCTGTAACCATGGTGACCACCCACAGCACCTAGGCACTAGCTCTATCCTGTTTAATGCCAGCATTCTCCTCCTGTGGCTGATGGCCACATTCACCAAGACAGTTGCCCTTTTCCCCACACTTTTAGATCAACTCTTTATCTTGCAATTGAATAATTTAACCAAATATCAACGTAGAGAATTAAAAAAAAAACTAGAAAAGGTACAGAGCTTTGTTTTTATTAAAATTAAGTTTAACTTTAGAAAAACTCAATCAAAGGAAGTTTTTTTTTAAGAAAAGACTCTCAAGTCAGGGATGGGCAAGACTACTCCAAAGCCTGGGGGAGACGGGTGTTAGGAGCTGAGAGAGAGAGATCAGCAGAGAATGTGTCAGATGGCAGAGAGGCTTTCCAACCAG